TTTGGACATGTATTTAAATAAACGAGAAAGAGAAGAACAATTTAAGATGGATAGAGATAGAATTAGAAACTAGTATGAAAAACTTTACAGCAAATGACTACATTTCAGGTAAATGTGATAGATACAATTGAAAAGGTTATGAGAGGAAAATACGGCCCTAATATGATTTTAACGATGAGTCAGGTAAACATTGAATAGGTTACTATTGTATTATGAATTCCAAGAGAAGATTCAAATGTAATATGCACGATAATGTAAATTAGGATGCAAAGAATGTACAGTTAAAACCAAAATCAATCGAATAAGATATTATTAAATGTGTATATAACTAAAAACTATAAGTATAACAAAAAACAAACGTTTCGGCGAATAGCGACGGAACAACTTGAAAAGTAATAAGTACCTACCTATCTATACTAAGGATGTCGTAAAAGTATAAAAAATGCTTTTATGTCACCAATTTTTATAAGGTGAGACTGTAAAGCAAGACTATTGAACGAAATCTGCTTTTTACCAGCTCCCTAGCGACAGAATTTAAAAAGTTCTAAACTAGGCACCATTGGCGCAATAATAGGGGATCGCAGGGAGCCTGACTCATGGTGGACAACCTTATACCTCAAAAACCCAATGAACGACTTACTATCCGGTAAATGATAAAACTTATTGTAACTGTTTAGGGAAATGCTACCAATGAATGCGGGAGGCATGTGGCTAATAAGGGGTATGCCGATATAGGGATTTCCCCGTAGAGTCCTCATGAAAATCCCACCAAAAAAGTGGTGATACTAAAATGAGGATTGCCTTATGGGTTTTTCATATGGGTCTTAAGGGGCACCTATCACATGTATAAACCTAAATTAAATCTACCTTATGGGGGCTTGATGAGCCAAATTCGTTTGAAAATACTCTCGGTAAAATGAAAAAACTTATAACAATCCCCTGGCCCAATTATGTCGTCGTTTCAATGAAATATTTTATATTTGCAACGAACCAACAAATGTATTTCCTGATATTGTTATTATAAGGCAACTGAAACCAGACGCATCAGGTCGAACAACTGTAAACCAATTACAATTTAAAGTATTATTGACTACGAAACAGCCCAATAACACAATCTTACTTAAGAACAAACAAATTTTACAAATAAAGGATATTTGTATATATTGTATTTTTTTCATTAATAATAAAGTTCATTTTTTCAAAAATTTTAATAAGGTTTAACAGCTGTAAAGTGTACAGTAATTAATTTACGTGTAACGTACAGTTAATTACTGTACACTTTACATATTCATTTACAATATGTAAAGTGTACAGTAATTAATTTACGTGTAACGTACAGTTAATTACTGTACACTTTACATATTCATTTATAATATGTAAAGTGTACAGTAATTAACTGTACGTTACACGTAAATTAAAAGGATAATTATGGTGTAACTGTTTCAAATAAAATTTGTCNCCTCCTAACTCCTGTTTCTGCCTCTAATATGTCTCTGACTAGACCTTCATGTCTGAGAAGGTGTCCTACCAACCTATCTCGCCTATTTTTTATTGACTTCCATAGAGTCCTCTGTTCTCCTATTATTTCTAACACCTTTTCATTTCCAACGTTTTCTACCCACATTATCCTTATCATTCGCCTATAACACCACATTTCGAAAGCTTCTAACCTTTTCTTTTCCGCCACGCCTACTGTCCATGTTACGCACCCGTACAACGCCGTTCTCCAAACATATAACGTGTTGAGAAAAAATTAATTTACTTATATTTTATTTATAAATTTCCGGAACTTAATTGCCACATCTCCAACTTAAATCACTAAGCCAGACATCCAAAACATTTACAGTGACAGTATTACGATGTAAATACAGGATTAACGTATTTAAATCATAAAGTGGTGTTATGCCAATATCCACATTTGTATATCATACCTGTGCTGGTGATGTAAGTCCTGCAGACATTGCGGCTGATTGTTGGGCTGCTGCAGCAGCTGCAGCCATGGACGCAGCGCTTAAGGATCCATATGCAGCTGATGGATTGTAGTATGAAGCCATTGATTGGCCCATACTGCTCGCAGCCATTCCTGAAACAAAGAATTTTCATTAATTTTATTTATCCAGTACATAAATAAACTATATATAGATAAAATTACGTAAGCTGATTGCGAGTCTAACTAAATCTTTGTAAAAATTTTGTTGCAATTAAAAAACGTTCGTGTAAATTTTTCAATATCTTTTGTACAAAAAAGTCAAAGGAAAACCATTCTTCTGCGAACTCTTTTCAATAAGGGAAATTGGAATAAGAAAAAAAATCCAGGTCAAAATTAGTTCGTAAACGTGCTCTTCATCAGTTGTTGCAACTTTAGTGAAATTGATTTGGGAAATACATGAAAGAAACCCGATACCCCGATAGATTGGTTGCGAGAAAGTTCCTTGCTTTCAGAGCATTATTAAAAGATTACGTACGGCACAGGGTACACTAGAAAGTTCGAATTTGAACAGAAAAGTTGAAGTGCAGACAAGTCGGTTATTTACCGTTTAGTGTACTGTTTATTCTAGTTTATAGGAAACACTGCTACATTGTGAAGATTTATTCAACTTTTTTATATAACTTTTCTAACTTAATAAATAATGGAATAAAACATTGAGTTTAGTTATTAGTCAGTTAGAAATGTTTTATAAAAATATTAGCACAACAGTTTATTTGTTTATTTTAAAGAGGGAAAGGTAATGGCGTTCGTAGGACATCGGTGTCATGTTCCTTAAACGTTAGTCAAAAACATCAAAACAGATGAATAATTAATGAAGCTTTTGTTTTCTGTATTAGGTTTTCAGAAAGACAGCCTAGTCCAGTATGTAGATATGCTTTCAAGAGAATTGAACTAGAGAATCTTTTGCTTGTATAGAATGAGATGTGTCGTAGAATCGGTACAAAAAAGAAATATAAAAAAACACATAAATGAAAATCCAACCCGCATTTTTCGGTTGTAAGTATATCAATCGCTGGCAATGTTCTTTCAGGAATTATCTATATTATAGGGATAAAAAATATCCTATATATTTATCAAAGACAGACTAACTATTCAAATTTGATCTAAATCCGTTCAGCAGTTAGGTATAACCCAATTGCAACTTCCGCATTTATATATGAGTAAGTAAGATAGGTAAAGGACAGATTAATAATAATATAATTGAATTTATCTGAGCTACATTATTGCTGAAACAGTTCGCTGATTTTTATGAAGAACGCAAGCTACTTCTATGTATAAATTGGGCTTTGATGTATTTAAGTATCTCATGAGTACCAGAAAGCATATGCTCGCTGTAAGGTAACTATTCTTATATCTAACGATAAGGGTACAAATGATTTTCAATTTTTACCGAGCGGCTTGGCCTAGAGGTCTAGACCATTGCTTAGCATTCGGGAGGACGCCGGTTCGATTCCGGATCCGTCTGCCTTTGTCCAAGTTTTTCTGTGGTTTCCTTGGATCACTTAGGCAAATGCTGAGGCAGTAATATTCCACAGATAATCTTTCATTCTCTTCTGTCTTCATTTCGTCCGTCTCATCTTTCT